CATGTTGGGGTCTCTTTGGGCAGGATCAGACTGCAGTGGCCGAGGCCACTTGGTATCTTTGAAGCGTCCGATGGAAGATATGATACCGGCAGCATCGACGCCTAAGTTGTATTCCGATAATCTCGCCTCCCTAGCCCCGAGTGGCCTGTAGAAATCGTTTTTACTCACGAGTCCCCTACTATTATGGCCTCGATCGCTCCTGTTTTCGTTCCTCGCAGGGTTACGTCCAGATCCACTACCCCTTCGATCTCCGCTATACGGTTGATATCGATCTCTGTTCGGTCTTGGTTCATGATCGACGACTCTTTTAGACCTGTCATTAGTTATGATGGGATAAACGGACCCGGAAGGGGCTCCGAGATGATAATCTTCGACTCTGATTTTTTATTGGTACATGTTATGGACGTCAACCCAAGTTACCGTCGGGTGCTCTATAAAATTCTGTTTTAGCTCATGTGAAGCCAATGAGCTTTGGGGGTTGAGTCCTTGAGTGAACGCCTGAAGGACCCAATCGTCCGCAACCGGAGGCAGGTCCATTCGCTTCACTTGAAACCTCGACACGAATTCCCTGAGCATTTTGTTATCTCTTTGTTTTATTTTAAAGAGTCCCGATTTTCTGGTCTCGACCTTGATGGCCCCGGGATGAGCTTTTACGAAGGCATTTGCAAGCATAACAAACGAATCAATAGAATTAGGGGGTAGGTTAGGATGCCATATCATTACTCATTTGGACAGTGTTTCTCCGAATTTTTTCAGCAGAATCAACTCGATTTTGTCATCTTCTAAGTCATATCCCTTGATGGCACACGTGTAGGAGGCCACGTGTTCATTTGGATCCGTGGTTCCGCTATACTTTGGAATTTCGGGCATATAGAACTTCTTCGGGATTGGTTTCGGTGATGCGCTCAGAGGGAAAGGCTTTTGGACAAATTTCTTGGAATCCTGGCCTTTCAATATCGGGGGTGTTCCTAAGATTTAATCAACCCTGGAGTTATAGGTCTCCACTTTTTTGTCGTTGGCTTTGATCTTCTTTTTTCCCGATTCCACCCGCTTTGTCAGTTCCTCAAGCATCTTTATTATTTTGGGGTTGGTTTCGCATTCAACTTCACCCGGTCTTTCTATGGTCGGTTCATTTCTTCTGATATTTTTCCAGGATGGTTCGGGCTCAACTCTGCTGGGGGCGCGGGTTTGGTTCTGCAACTGGGCTATCGCCACCTGTTGGGCTTGTAACATTTCGAAGATCGCCTGCATATTGATCTCATCGCCTTCGCCGTCGTGCGTGCCCTGAGCTACTGATCGGGGTCCTTCGCGAACGCTGTTCTCAGGGTCGGTAGGCAAGTTTGCGTTGATGGCCACATTAGAGTTGGCATCGATTGGGTCCGCGGTCGGAACACTGTTGGGGTCAACAGGGACACCTCGTTGCTGGGCACTACATTGTTGTTCTCGCCGTGGTGGCCAGACTTAGCATCAACGTTCAAGTGAGCAGATGAAGAGTTTGATATTTTTTAATTTGACCTGAAATTAAAATCTCAAAGAGCAAGCGTAAAACAGAGTGTATTATGGAAATTTGTATCAAATTACCACTATTATCCTTAGCCCCACGGTGGGCGCTAAATTGCTTACCCTTAAAAATGGATAACAATTGAATTTATACGCGGTTTTAAAGAGGTGTGGATTAATTCAATACAAGTGATCAATGACATTAGATTAAGCAAATAAAAGACGTAATAAATGGCCAAACCAATGATAAGAGTGATTTCGAGCTCGGTTAATGACTTAACGAGGAATCTGCCTTCGGTTCCGAGCTTACACTTATGAAGTACTTATGAACAAAAGTTAGAACTTTGAATAACTTTTAGAGAGAATAGAAGTAAATTGCATTGATATGCGTGTTATAATATCCCTAATGAATAATAAATTTTTCCTTTATATAGTAGGAGAGTTTTACCTTAAGTACAATCCTAAGAAAGGTAAACAATCTTCCTTTTCGCAAATCACTGGTTTTTTGCCGATACGGGCCGAGATTCACGCTGTGATATCCGGTTGGGCATGGGCATCACGACCCTTTTGTTAGTGGTGTGCGGTTGTTTGATAATGCTCTTCAAAGTCTTGGGATTCGAACCGGACCCGAAGGATGTGGTCCCGATGCCCCCGAGGGAAGGCGTTTTGCTCGAACACCGATACGAGAGACTCCTCGTTCTGACTCCGATTCCTTACGGTCTCGTCCCAACTCTGTTTACCTTACCAGGAAACCGAGGTGCTAAGTGGGCTCGGTTTTACGAGTGTACAACTAGGCATTTTTAAGGGTAAACATATACAAAAACTTATGAGTTCAACGTCTTTTTCTTTTGCAATTAGAGGTTCAAAAGCATTCTTGATTTCTTTAATTGGACTAAGCTCACTCTTGGGATGTCTTTGCAAAAAGTTAAAGTGAGTTCTAACTATACAGAGGGTAACCATATTTTATTAATTATTATCTTTTTCTCTAAGTCTCGACTAACAACAATAATCACAATAATAATATATCAAATATAATTTTACATAGAGATGTCTGAGAAGGGATAAGGTGTACACAAACCTTACCTCTATACTTGCGGAGGTAAATAGATTGTTTCCAATAAAAATAATGGTAAACGTTATTTATTTCAAATACATAAAATAGTAGAGTTTCAATCTATACGTCCAAAAAATAAATTTTTAAATGTACTATCAACAAAAAGGTAACCTGAAACTTGGTGAAGATGAATTATGTCTAAATTGTAATTGAAAGTTCAAACTCCCTTTTATGCCATTTTAAAAGACACTATTATTAGTTGGAGGTCAAGCAGTTGTTTCTTTGATTAGATCTTTTAAATATTTTATTGTAGTTTTGAATTATAAAATATTTAATGATAGTACATTTATGCAATTACTTTTAATACTTAATTTTTATTTCAAAAAATCTAGATCAATATCTGAGTTCACACAAAATTAAATACGTTGAACTTTACCAATTTAGATAGAGAGAGGAGGAGGAGTTACTTATTCCAAAGCCAGGCAATAAAACCCCATAGAGGTCAGTATCAATGTTTTAGGTGTTAAATATTATGTATTTATTAATTAATGTGATATAAACTCCCGATTGTTACCCCCTCCATCCTAAAGTTCTAATTTCGAGAGTAAAACGAATTTTTTTTTATCATGCTTTTTTCATATGTCTTTAGATATTTTGAATTGTTAATTACTGTGACTTGTAATATTTTTTATATAGTTTTCAAATATATACATTTTATTTTTAAAAAAATTCTATGCATAAATTTACGGTTAAAATTAAGAAATTTGATTCTCGAAGTCGTCCGAGTAATAAATTAGCTTTGTCAGAGTAGTGCATGATTGAGCAAAACGTATCTAGACGCTTANAAGGAAGACGTGCACGAAATTATCAGTTATCAGTTACACGTTTAGCCGAATTACATTAAAAGTTGACCATTTCTATAATAACTTGAAACAAAAATTTTAGCAAAGCTGAAAAAAAACATATTGATTTTTTTCAGCATAACATTGAATTTGACTTCAGCTAATTTAAGTAAACGAATATCAATACTGCTATATTTGATAAATACATAGATAGGGTATACTTTTCTTCTCTGCCTCTTCCATTTTGGGGCTTTTCCATTCTAATTAAAGCCAATACAATTTCAGAAAGTTTGGGAAGTTTTCCTGGCTACATTTTTATAGTTCAAAGAAATTGTTCAAGAGTCGAAAAAGCAAAAGAAACTGTTCAATAGAAAAGAATTTAGAAACATTCAAAAGATTTTTTAAGAACGACAACCAATTAGAAATGTTCCTTTTTATTTGCAAGGAAAATTCTCCAAAAAAGTTTATCTAAATTTAATTTATTTTGCCCATCAAAGTTTAAATATGCCGTCCGTCCTAGAATTAGTCTTTTGACATTTTGAAAAGATAAGAAGTTATTAATTACTATATATTTTTGTTTTTGCAAATCTACCCTTAGTGTTTCAGTTAGTGGAGTGATAATTAAGTAAGACATTTTTTAAAGAAAAGTCAAAAAAGTAAGTACTACAAAAAAACATATACTCTGATGAAAGTTATAAACGAATTTTTTAAGAGGCGTACAGAAAGACAGTTATAAAACAGATGAAGCATATGGTTGTGGGCAACACATTTACTTGCGAATTGCAATGCTGGTCAGAGGATCCCAGTCTCTCTCTTTTTTAACCCTGTAATCGAGGAAAGAAGAACATACCAACATAAAAGTTAAGGAATTGAACTTGAGACTTTTTAGTATGAGTACCGATCCTGTGGAGCACAATTGAGGCAAAGGAGACAGTTGAAATAGGAACTTACCGTCAAATTTTGGACCACACAATAGTGACCAGCACTATTGGCATCATTATTTATACCCCACTTGAGAAACACTCGAAGAACCCATAAGGAAATTTGATAGTAGTAACTTGTACTAATATGCTATTCCACAGTCCACACCTATCAAGTTTTATTAAAAAATATTATCTGAGCTTGATTCAAAGGAATACATTGCAGTAAATGAATCATGGAGAAATTCATGGTCTTATACTTTGCCGTAATATAATATGGTTCAAAATTAACCGAATATACTTGTTGAGTTGTTGTATCACAATTACTTTACCAGACTATGATACATGAGGGTTCTTCTACAACAATTTCCATTATTTCTTTTATAATAGAACCACAAGGTCAGATGGTCTATCGTTCAACTTATGGAAACTAATAAAAATTATTCCTTGTCACGGGCATTTTACACTTTATGCAACCTAAAAGTGCTTGCTTGATATATTTGCAAAGCCCATTTCATGGATGGATTATTCAAGCCCAAGCTTAAATTTATGTATATTGCCTATCAGATATAATTATTTTTGGTTGAGCGGCCAAAAGTGTTAAAAGCCCTATGCAAATGACCTTTTCAGGCTTAACTAATGAAACCCAAATTCCTCTAATATAAGTTAGCAATATACCAGGAGCAAGCAAACTGAGGAATCATGTTATATATATGAATAGGCAAAGTAAATTAAAAAAATAATAATAATTCATATTACTTGTTCTAGGGAACATCCAGATCATAGCAGCCTTTTCTTTTCCATATTTTCTTTTAAGGAGCAATCACCAGATCAACCGATCTCGAACAGCATATCAGAGTTCACTTATGCAGAGGTATTAGGTACATTGGTTAGATAAGATGTCACAATATCCTTTTGACTATTGGTATGCCTGTGCATGTTCAGGTTTGTGGCTGTATTCGTAGTCAAGATGAACGAAGGCCCGCTCAATCTCAGGCAATAGTTCAAGCTTCTCCTGCAACGACTCGCCAATATCATGTGCCTCTTGCAAAGGCATGTCCGCAGGCAGGACGATATCAACTTCAACAAAGTAGTGAGAACCAAATGTATAAGCCCTCACGGTATCTATATGCCTTACGGCCTTGTGATGATTCCAGCAAAGGTAAGTCAGCTTCTGTAGATATTCTGGTGCAGCTGACTTGCCGACGAGAGAGTTCACATTCTCCAATACAGTCATTGACCAAGTTCGAATGGTATACAGTGCGAGCTGCAGCAGAGGGAAAATAGTTTAAAGCCACTAACTTTGTTCAACTAACCTTGTTTAAAGTGAGAGGATTGACAGCCCCATTAAAACTTTTCCTTTTTCTTTGCACATTTCTTTTAAGGGAGGAGGTTGTTGGTGGAATAGAATCTAGAGATAGAACTTACAATCATAGCTCCAACGGGATCTATCCAGTCGGTGATGTAGTTAGCAAGCAATGCTGCAATGAGACCAATTATGTTTGTGATAACATCAAAGAAATGATCCTGGGCATATGCTTTCACAATCTCATTGGTAAAAGACCGGCAATACAACATTAAAACTAGTTTCACCAAAGTCACAAAGACCATAATCCCAACAACCCATCTCTCCTGCTCCTTGGTAAGGTTGAAATCAGACTCCTGTGAGAAGGTCAATGTTAACATTTGTCGTTGTGCAGGATCAAGGAATAATTATAACAATCCATGTAATTTTCAACCAGACAATACAGCATAAATAGAGCAGAAATTTGCAATCATAGAAGCCACAACTTACATCAGATATTAGTGTACGCATAGACTCCAGAATTATCTGCAGTCCCAAAGTCGCCATGACAGAAGCAAAAACAAGGATTCCCTGTGTATCATTTTTCAAAGTTAAATTGGACCAGCTCCCAAGGAAGAAAAGAAAACAATCATACAATATCTCTATTCATGCCGGTAAGTTGTTATCACCAGATATGTAGAAATACAAGTAAAACTGAAAGTTAAAACACAGTTCACTTTGAACCCATTGGGAATTACACAACATGCACTTTGAAGATAGCCATAGACCTGCACTTTGCTCTAGCTACATGAAAATATCAAACATGTAAAATCATTCAACTTCATAGGATCAGCCAGCATGCAGGGCAAAACTTGTTTGCAGACTAGATTTTTACAGTGGGATCATCCCTGTATCCTAAGGAATTATCAACTGATTTAAACCAGAAGGTCAAAAATCTGAATAGATAACACAAATTAAATGAACTAGTATCTCCACGATGGCAATTTAAGTACTTAGCACCAAAGTAAAACTTCTCGGAGTTATTTATTTACAGATATTAGGCAAATTATCTTCAAACCAAGAAGCTAGAAAACACTCCTCCTCCTTAAGATGTGCATCCTAAGCTTACTAACTAAATGCAACTGTTATGAGTACTACACCAAATTCATGCCCAAACTAATTATTCATGGAACAATAAAAGAGTAAGTGATTGTTGTCAATTTTGATAATCCAAATGAGATAACAGGAATACATGAACGGCAAGAAAGACTATGCAAGAATCCAAGTGTAACTCAAGTCTATGTTACCTCCTTAGTTATGTTCAGACATTGGACTAGTAGAAACATCAGGAGATAATAGTTCTTTTTATAGGTAACATCAGGAGTGATAATCTAGATGTCTATATGCATATCACCAAAACACGATTAACTAATTGAATTTGAGGATCGCTACTTAAAGCGAGCACAATGGCTATCAACCTAACCTGATGTGGGAGAAAATGGTCCATATGGGAGGCTAGAAGCTCCAATATCCATGACAGATCATAAACAGAGACCATATTCATCCCTCCACAGTAAAAACAGAACACCTAAATTTTTGCCAAATTACTAATAGACGCTTAATAATCTTCCTGTAACCCCACCCTCTCTCATTCTATACTGTCAGTAACAGCAGCCACTGCTCTCTCTCTCTTTCTGTCTCACAAACATTCTCAGTGTGGTTCGCCACTGAGGCTACACTTAGAAGACAACTATTGGAGAAAGAGATGCTGAAGATTTGCATCTCTGTAGGTTTTATTGCAGTCATGTAAGCTGTCTGCTAGAGGTCATTATTGAAAGTTTGCACGTCGTTTCTTTTATTTCAACCTTTTATAGTTGGTTACTATCAAATATTATGTTGTTTTAATTCATTTAATTTGTCTTATAGCCTGTTTGGCCAAGCTTCTAAAATCAGCTTATTTTGAGAAGTACTTTTCTCAAAAGTACTTTTCAAAAAAGTGTTTTTGGTGATAAGCAGTTTGTGTTTGGCTAATTAATTTGAAAAGCACTTTTGAGCAGTAATTAGCGTTTGGCCAAGCTTTTAAAAACTGCATTTATGTGTATTTTTCTCAAAAGTGCTTCTCAGAAAAGTGCTTTTGGAGATAAGCTACTTTTTTTTGCTTCTCAAAAACTACTTCTGCGTCTCCTCAAAAGCACAATTTTTTCCTTCTAAAAGCTTGGCCAAACACTTTTTGAAAAAAAACACCTTAATTTTTGAAAAAAAAACACTTTTGGCCCAAAAAAAGGCTTGGCCAAACATGCTATTAGATGCATTAAGTTTGCATTTCTCGTGGTTCCATACTTTAGGTGAAAATTATTCCTTTGTTTTTTGGACTACGTCATGTGATGATTAGAGATTGATCTCAAGAAGAAGGCTAAGTTGCCTCTGCATCAACAAACAAAATGAATATTAAGGCTTACCATGACCACAAAATAAAAATAGCAGCGGCAGAGTTTAAGGTCCCTTTAAAATCAAATATGACAAGAACGCATAGTATAATTACCTTGTTAGACAACTTTTAAATCCATGAACATTGTTATTATATGCAGTAATCAACATTAGCCCAATAGCAAGTGACAAGTGCAAAAATGCCCTGATTAAAGGCATAGAAAATGTAAAAAACTTAGAGAACAAAAGCAGCAGCACTAACCAACGGCTGCATACGTTTCTTTCCAATAGGATATTGATATGGGTTTGGTGTCTGCATGGAGAAAGCTGTAAACCATAATATGAAACCAGAGAGAAGATCAAGCAGCGAATCCAATGTGGATGCTATGATGGCCAATGAACCACTCTTGACTGATGCATATACTTTAGCAGCAAAGAGAACCATGTTTGCAACATTTGATATCCTAATGGCAAATGTTTCATTTCTAGCAGTTTTTTCCCTCTCTTCCTGCAACCAAATTAATTGACCTTGTCAGTCCAAGCTTATAATAATATAAGAATGATTACATCTAGAGAAGAAACAAATGCTTGGTCTTATACATAAAGAAGAAGCAGATAAAAACTATCAAAACCTTTGACATCCCAGGTACAAAACCACGATCAGTCAAGGTGTCCATTTCATTGAAGCCCTCGAGCATTTCTACCTGTTGCTGGTAGTACTCAGCAATGTTGTCTTCTTGACCTATAAGCACCAAAGAAAAACACAGCGTCATAATCCGTGCCTTCAAGAACACCCCATGTCTTACGGTGAAAGCATTCAGTAAATCCCTCACTATAGCCCCCTATAAGTACTAAACCAAAGAGTTGATGGGAACCAAGGGTGACCTGCATTTAAAGGCCACCACTCGTACCAAAACCAATTATAAATTGTTAAAGTACCATTATCAATTCGAAACATACATTCTCATATGACAATTTAACAATTCAACAGAATGCAAAAGTAGCCTCTTGAAACAATCTGTTGACTGGCTCATGTCACATGCAAACACACACGCGCACCAATTAACCTGTTCTATTCAGAGGCATATCAAGGAATTGAAGGTTGCCGGTGCACTAAAGCTTCGAACAAGTCATGTCGTCTAAAGTGCATTCAGTTGGTTTGATGGTATTGCATTAATTTGATTCAACTTTGTAAGTATTCAATATGAGAAGACAACAACTCAGGTAAAAACACATATTTTAACAAATCCTCCTACCGCTACTTTGTAATTGAGGTTGCCACCTAAAATACATGAGTAGTAGTTTTATAAGAATTTTATATACTCGGGTGCCAGTGCACCCTCACATATTAACATAGATCTGCCTCTGGTTCTATTACACTGACCTAACCACATAGACTTACCTGGTGAGTGCACTCAGCTAAAGTTTTCTTCTTATTTTCAGTAAACTGAAGTGCTGAAACGCATTAAATTTAAGCTTTAACGCTCATGCTCTTATAACAATAATTATCCATCTAAAACTTATCCAAAAAGAATCATCCATCTACATACAAAATATATGCCAATTTGCTCCAAACCAGTGAACTGCCCATAAGCATGTTCAATTGTCCAGAGAACAATAAAAAGTGAATATAGCTTAATATCTTTAGCAAATTTACACCATCCATACAAGAATCATTTTGTTCTTCCGAAAATTGAATCCACGTGGCATGAATACTTTCTGACACTGAAAAGTATTAAAAAGAGCCCCCTAATAACTCAACTAAAGAAGTAAGCTTAGTGTTAGAAAATTTCCACAATTAGTAAACTTCCTACGCACAACAGAATATCAGTCAAGTATTTCTCCATCACTGATTAATAGGAATCAGCTGTATAAATCCTTTATATAAATTCCACTCCATTCAAGTGGTGTCTCCACTAATTTACTATCCTAATGCAACTAGTTAAGAAATTAGCAGAGAATAACACTCAAAGCGGCGTCGCATAGAGAGGTGGAGAATGTACTTAAAACCCCAAGGCAATCATGGAGGCCACGTGGAGGCTTCTCTTTGGTTTCAGACGATAACCGCAACTCGTCGAAGTTTAATCTCCATGATCGGTCGGCATTGTTTGTCTCCAGCAATAAAAGCTCCTCTTCGGCGCCGACGCCTTGATCGCCGCCGTGAAGAGGTACTACTTCTAACATTTTCCGGTCACCGGAAAACAGGAAAAAACCAGTTGAATACACTAGGTAAAAAACTGGCGGCACCTACTTGAAGGAGCCGCAGAAAGTGGTAAAGTGAGTAAATTTGATGAAACTCGAGGGACCTTTATGTAATTTGGAGTTCTTAGTGGTGGGTAGTTGTGGAGGCTATATATGGCGGAACTTTTTTGAACAAGGAAAGTGGAACTAAAAATGATTACTGAAATTTGGAAAATCACGCGCCACGAAATTTAACTCGCTCGTTTATTAGCTGGGATGAAAATGACGTGTCACTTGGCCCCGCTTAGATTGCTGAGTTTGCTCGTCAAGATGGGAGATATCATACCACGTGTACGGTGTAGATACCAAGTCTTGGTAGATTTTTAGAAGATAACGTGGAAAACGGAAAAGGTCACGTGAAAAGAAAAAAAAATGCTTACACTTTAAAAATAAAATAAATAAAAATAAATATATTCCACACTTTCAAAAATATACTTTTTACAAGAAACAATTTGCGTTTGGTTAATTCATTTAAAAAGTACTTTTGGGTAACAATTATTTTTGGCCAACTTCTAAAATGTGTGTTTAAGCGTATTTTTCTCAAAAGTATTTTAAAAAAAATACTTTTGAAGAGAAGTTACTTTTTTTACTTCTCAAAATTACTATATGATCTTCAATTCACCATAATATTTGTGATTAGAGTTTTTTAAACTTGTGGTATTAAATATATAATAATATTTGTGTGAACGTAAAATTTTATTAATAAGATTAAATTGAAGATTTTAATTAAATTATTCTATAGTTAAAATGAGTTTTTTAATAGACTAAAAAGATATATGATCATAAAAATTTAAAAAAAATGAGTAGTTTTAACAACATTAAAGAATAATGAAAATTCTAATAAGTAAAAATTTTTATGTAGTGGATATACGTTTATATTGATTGATTTAATATAAAATTAATTGTGAATAATATTGGAATAATATTTTTTTTCTAAGAAGCAAAAAGAACGAATGAAACCGAGGAGCGATGCGATTCACATGATTCATTGATATAGGTGATATGACTAGGGAGTGGGTCCCAGTTTTGTTTGAACAAAGCAACTTATGCTTTTTTATCGGACTTCCTTTAGATAATGAAGGAAATTTGCAGATTCCGTGTCGTTGGAGGCACCACAACTCCACAAGGCATAGGGATATTTTGGAGGTCAAAATTATAATATTAGTTTATTATAAATAAATTATAAATTAAGGTAAAAGTATATATTAATTAATTATTATATTAAGCGATAAAACCGTATGTAAAGACATTTGTCTATTGCGGGTACATTTACCTGTTTTAGAACGCCAAAGGATGGAGAAAATGAAAAATCGGACAATATATTGTTTTTCATGAGGACTTTTACATGAATAGTCTATCGAATTCGAATTCGATGTTTATATTTTTTAGCTAGTATACATAAATTATATACTGATTAAATATATGATTATATATATTGTATGGGTCCAAATTCATCTTTAGTCGAAATGGTATTAGTAAAACATTCCCGGAATGTCACGCATCGAAATAATCTAATTATCAGCGAAGGTCGCGGTCGAAGAGTCAACAAGACCGAAGTCGAGGAGTTGTCATCGAGGCCGAGATCGAGCACCCTTAACAGAGCTATAACGGCTAGTTTCGAGATAGGATACAAAAGAGAATATTTTCTTCACTTGTATTGTTAGGGTTTTTAGGAACATGCTCCCTATAAATAGAAAGAAACACAATGATAGAGGACATGTGATATTCATTTGTAAAAATACACTTTAACTCGAGAAAGAGAATTGGATCTCATTGCAAATATACAAACATCACATTTTTATGAAGATTCTTGTCTACACTTTTCCATTAGATCCAAGAATAACTCAAATATTCAAATGATTGTCCATCACTCATCATTGTGAGAAAAACATTCATTGATTTCATCATTTCTTGGGTGACTCATTCATTCTATTTACTTAATTGTCATTTACTGCTATTCATTGATATTGAATGCTACATTATTGCCTTTGATTTCTGAAATATTTATTGCATACTGTCGCCGCTATCCGAATATATCTACATAGTATTAGTTGCATTTTTAAGAACTCCATCTTAGGGCTATTATTGTTAGCTAAGATTAACCCTCATTTATATAAATTTAATTATTTGAATCAAGATCTATATTTTTGGTTAAACAATTTGGCGCCGTTTGTGGGGATTTCTCAGCTAAATTTTTAGTTTCATTCAGATCTATAATTAATGCAAGTCAATAATGTCAAAACCCCGAGATCTCCTTTCTTTGTGCATACAAGACCCTACATGGTAGGTAATCAAGGAGAAAGGACAAAAATAACAAATGACTTCGCAACCAACCTCATGAATGTCATCAACGGAAGTTGTGAAACAGTAGGCTAGGACACGACACCCAATGCGTCCCCTAGGCGAGAGAGGTCACATCCCCCACACTGCAGCATAAAAAATCCAGCGGAAAAAGGGCCTCCACGTCTGCAGACGAAGGAACGCCCCCAGTTGTAAAGAAGCTCCTTGAAGCATGACTGACCGACACACTAGCAAGCTTCCTCAGTAAATCCGCTCCAGGCATGACTGCAGAAACCGCAAGAGCTTGCATGATTGTTCGCAACAAATTTTCATCGTACGGAAAATAAACTGCAACAAAAATAATATGAAGAAGAAATTTTATTGATAAGTATTTATGAGTACACTTCTTTGTATCCCTTGATTCTCCTCTATGAAATTCTCCGTGATTCGAGGGCTTGAGAAGCGTCTTTCTCGAATGTAGGACGTTATAGACCTCCTTATGATGTATTTAATCGCCAAGATCATCGAGCAGCACTTTGTTGTTTCGGGTTGATCTCCGGGAAGAACTCCGTTGATCACTCCTTTGTTGAAGAACTATGCACTTGATGATTGATCTCTCTGTTTGTGGATGCCTTCACCAGTTGCGGGATGTTCTTCTCCAACTCTCAATGTCTTTAGAGAGTTATGTAACCCCTCTATTTATAATGGTAGAGGATGGACAGTCCAGCTACATATGAACCCTCTTGCTTGATTCTGATTGGGTCATTATTTTGGACTGGGATTGCCACATCATTTAACAAGTAGCATCATCTTGTTGGCTTTGGGTTTGACTGGACATGCCATATCACTTGACATATGATGAGTCTGGGCCTTAAGATAACATAGACCTTGGGATTGAAAATAATAAAATGGACTAATTTTAATTTATATAGTCCAAATTAATTATTTAACCCAAATAAATTTAATCTAAATTTTGTATGGATTAGACCCAATAAATTTTATATGTCTACAGATGTCCCCTACTTCAAGACTTGTTAGAGTGTAGGCTTGTCGAAACTTGAAGACGAGGCTTGAAGTATCCATGAGAAGACCACTTTCTTTCTTGCCCATAAATAAAGAACTTGAATTCTCTGGGCAATCGTAACTCTCCGGTGAAGCATGTAATCAAAGCCATCAAACAAGGTCGTCTTACTTTGCTTTCATTTTTTAATTTGGATATAAATTCAATGATATATCTCTTGCCATATGTGAAGTTCACTAAATGAAACTGACCTAAATCGAATAGGAAAAAACTTCTAATGCCAAGTATATTGTACTTAAACAATACTTTATTAGTAACCTTTATAGTAAAATTATGGTAACCAAAACATGGTCATATTGAACAATGTATGACAATTCCATCATAGATCAATTTCTTATGACAAAGCCACGTGAGACATAAGCCTTCCCCTCTTCCACTTTGACTTGAATTCAAATACGTCTCAAAAGTTACCTTCTGATGAATATTTACCATTTAAAATTTTCAATTCAAACAAGAATTTTCTTTTTTACTTTAAGAAGAATTCCTTTTCCATAGGAAAAGTTCTACCTCCTTAAATAATCTATATAAGGGATCTTTGTTGCCTTTACCTTGACATATGAAAGTGGTGAACATAGGGTTCTTTTCACGCTGAACACAACTGCTCGTTTTATGCTTTCACTTCTTTATTCATTTATTTTTTCTTTTAAAATAGAAAGAATATCATTCATGCCTTTTTTAATTGCAGTACTAGTCAGCCAACTTTGTATCCTTGCGAAAAAGAATTCATATTTTGCTGTAGGAGACTTCAAATTATGAGCCGCTTATTTCTACCAAAACTAGACTCATAGGACTTAAACATATCAAAAAATTAGCACGAATCTCCTTTTGTATCAACTGAAAATAATTTTCGAAATTGATCTACACGTCTTGCCCGTGTTGATCTCACAGCATTGCGCACTCTCGACGAAAGATTTATATTATGAGATCAGAGAGTCCAAATCACGGGCCGCTTGATTCTACTGATTCTAGACTCAAAGAAATCCAGCATATCAAACAATTACAGCCAAATTCCTTCTGGATTGTCTGGGATTAATTTTTGAAGTTGGCATGCGTGTCTGGCCCATTGATCTCACAACTCTGCGCACTCTCGGCGAAAAAGTCGTATCTCGAGATAGGAGCGTCCAAATCACAAGCCGTTTGAAGCGTTGGAAATTAGACTCCTAGAGATACAAAAATATGTATAAATTATAGTCAGGATATCCTTAGGTTTCCCTAGATAATTTTCTGAATAAAGAACATAAGTTCCAACATGCTGGCTTGATTTTTTCAGCTTTGTACGCTCTTGCTAAAACGATTCATATCTCAAGATAGGAGCATCCGAACTACGAGATGTTTGCACCGTTGGGAAGAAGACTCGGAGATATACAATATCTATAAAACTCGAAG